TTACAAAAAGTGGCAAATTCCTATGTAATTTGGGAAATGAATCGTCTTTGGGGCAAGGTTTATTATGAATTTTTTTAGCACACTCTCAAAAATGTTATGTGATTTTACCCATCTACTCACTGTATAAACCAAATAATTAGTACTAGCGATCACAGATTTCGTAATTTATGCTAATTCATCACAAGGAAACAGCTGCGGAAAGGTCAAAGTGAAGTAGTACGGCGTGAGGCAGAATCTTCATATTCGACCTTCACCGGCTTTTAATACACATTCCTGTTTATTACAGTCGTGAATTTTTATCTTCCGAATGGTATTAATAAACGGACCGATCCTATGTAGATTATACAAGCGAGCTATTCAAAAGGAATTAACATTTTCTCAGTCGTTGTTGCTTTTTTATAAAATAACAAATGTTAGGATGCTCCTATTTTTCGCTATGGGGGCAACCTTCAATGTTTTCAAGCATTGCAATTATTATCTATACTAATATATAAAATCTTTAAGTGACTGACATACTAATTAATCACGATCCTGCTCAAACCACTCAACGTAAGAAGCTCAATTTTGGCATACAGGTTGATTCTAGGGTGAAGAGGTTCGGTCAAGTTTCCGAAAAAACGCTTAAACACGTATATTTTATTTTGTTTTTTTACATATTTTAAGATTTTTAAAAATGTATACAGGGTGTTTCGAAAAATCTGGTCATTGATTAATCACGATCCTGCTTAAAACGCTTGACGTAAAAAGCTGATTTTTGGAAAACAGATTGACTTTAGGGTGTAGAGGTTCGATAAGAAGGGATTTTTCGAAACTCGAATTCTAAGGGGGTGAAATTATCCCTCAAATATTAAAATATTTTTTATTTAAAACCCGGTGAGTTTTTCGGAAAAACTCTTAAACACGTATATTTTATTTTGTTGTTTTACATATTTTAAGATTTTTTATAAATGTATACAGGGTGTTTCATAAAATATGACCATTGAGTAATCACGATTCTGCTTAAAGACGTTTAAAGCTGATTTTTGGCAAACGGACTGACTCTGGGGTGTAGAGGTTCGATAAGGAGGGGTTTCTCGAATCTCAAATTCCAAGAGGGTGAAAACGCCCCTCAAATATTATAATATTTGTTACTTAAAAAACAGTCAATTCAATCAGCAATCGACACAAAAGAGAATTAAAAAATATTGACTCAAAACTGACAACTAAAGAGACAGCTTTATTTATCTGTCAAATTCCATAGAAACCCACGCCAACCCAGCACAATATTTTTTCTACTCGGAATAAATTCTTTGGAATAATAATTTCTGAATATTTTTTAAAACTCTTGTCTTGTATAAAAATAACTATTAGCATTTAGCGTTTGTAGGTCTTAGCATTATTTATAAAGCTCGACCAATACACACATTAAATAATTGAAATTGAATTTAATTATTTGAATATATTTACTGAGAATTTTAATTTATTACAGGAGATCTCAGTGACGTTTAAAATACTAAACTACCTACTTCTTTTTAATCCTGTAAATTAGGTCGACGTGCTCAATTAAATTTAGCGCTCTTAAATGTTATTGCGCGAAAAAAATACGAAAAGGGAGAGTATCGAAAATTGCATAGTTAATCCACTACTACGCAACACCGACTGCAACCGCATTCATTAATAAATAACTTACTAAGATTTAATAACAATAATAACTGCCCAACAGCGCGAGCGCCTGAATTTTTCGTACACATACGGCTGAAATTAAAAAAAATCTTCTTGTTTTTCGATGGGTTCTCGTAATTTCCGGTGTGTATCTCGCCGAGTGACATAACAGTGACATAACGCGACCTTTAAAAAAATTCGGAACATTTTAGGAAAGCGCTTCGTGTACGCGAATAACCCATCATTTACTGTCGCGACTGTATGGGCTATAAAATTTTAAATTAATTGACTAAAAGACTGGTCGGTACGTTTAAACCAGTGGTGTGTTTATGAGGTATAATTTAGGATAAAATCTGTCGAAATATCTCAGTTTAATTGATATATCTTGTCACTAAATATTACTTATTCGGTTACAGTAAATTTTAAACTAAAAACTCAATTTTTAAGAAGGTTATTATCTGGAGTAATTGGGACCAACTTTGATAATTAATTGTTGCCATTTGTTCCTTATAAAAAAATCTTAATTAAAATTTATAATTTTCCAAACTAATAATAATATCCATTAACATACAAACTGGACAAAATTTTCTCACATTTATGTCAGCATGAAAAAAAAAACAATATGGCGATATTATTATATAACTTGGTAATATTTGAGGGGTAGTTTCTTCTCGTTGGAATTTGACTTTCAAAAATCCGTTTGCCAAAAGTTTAAGCAGAATCGTGGTTAAAAATCAATTATCCAACTTTTTGGAACACCCTGTATGATTTTTTAAAAAATTTCAAAATATGTAAAAAAAACAAAATAAGTTTGCGTGTCCAAGCGTTTTTCCGAAAGACTAATCGTTTTTTAAACAACAAATATTGTAATATATGAGGGGCGTTTTCACCCTCTTGGAATTTGAGATTGGAGAAACCCCTCCCTATCGAACCTCTACACCCCACAGTCAATCCGTTTGCCAAAAATCAGATTTAAACGTCAAGCAGTTTAAGCAGAATCGTGATTACTCAATGGTCATATTTTATGAAACACCCTGTATAAATTTTTAAAAAATCTTAAAATATGTAAAACAACAAAATAAAATATACGTGTTTAAGAGTTTTTCCGAAAATAATTTTTTAAATAAAAATATTTTAATATTTGAAGGATAGTTTCACCCCCTTAGAATTCGAGTTTCGAAAACCCCTTGATCGAAACTCTACACCCTAAAGTCAATCTATTTTCCAAAAATCAGCTTTTTACGTCAAGCGCTTTAAGCAGGATCGTCATTAATCAATGACCAGATTCTTCGAAACACCATGTATACATTTTTAAAAAAATCTAAAAATATGTAAAAAATCAAAATAAAATATACGTGTTTAAGCCTTTTTCGGAAACTTGACCGTTTTTTAAATAAAAAATATTGTAATATTTGAGGGGTGGTTTCACCCCCTTGGAACTGGAATTTCGAAAAATCCCTTCTTATCGAACCTCTACACCCTAGAACCAACCTGTATGCCAAAATTGAGCTTCTTACGTTCAGCAACTTATAATAATATATTTTTTTTAGTTACTACTATCATCCCCTATAGCTTCTAGCCACCCTATCTCGGTTAATTTTGATGTGAGCAAAAAAAGTATAGAGATCTATAGATAGATCTATATATATCTATATAGATAGAGATCTATACATCTATAGTATATAGTCTATGTAAAATTTGACGTTCCTAATAAATCATTATACTATTTTTTGTAAAACTAATAAAATATAATTTTACACGCATGGTTGAAATAAAAGAAAATGTTTAAAATATTTGAAAATACGAGTACTTATTAAATACCAGAAATAAATTCTAACAACCGAGAGTCATGCAAGTACATAAACGAAAAACTACAAGCTGAAAAATGGTCTTCTTGTAATAAATTACACGCATCAATTGCTCGTTTTCGTATTACACAGACCGATGATCTTTACCGCCGTTACAATATATGCAATATTTAATTAGTGTATAATTATTACCGGTAAAATAATAGCTAAGTGGTTACTTTTACATATTAATAGTTAGTTGTACGGTGGTATAGGAAAGAAAATAGGAACAGATAGATCATAGAAAGAACATTCACATTGTTAAAGCGCTTGAAATAAAATACCATACGGTCGAAAAAAAACGGCGTCGAAGACGGCTACTGAATGACAATCGATGATAATTTTGACGTGGTCAATGTCTAGAACCGTTCCCAGACACCCAAAATATTAATCATTCCCAAATTTTACACTACACCATTTAAAAAACATGTTTACTCAATGTAAAAATCAATTACAACTTTCTTAAGGCCAACTGGCAGTAAACCTCATTAAAAAATAAAGAAGAGTACGGGCCAAGAGCCAAGTAAATAACGTCTAGGGCTTGACCTCGCCAAAATCATCATAAATTGTCATTCCCCAGCCGTCTTTGACACCGTTTTTTTTCGATTAAATGGTATTTATTAAATTAATAGCTATATAACATCAGTAGGGCTTTCTGGATAATCTTGTCGGTAAAAACATTGGATTCGTTAGCTTTTCTATACCGGGTGCATCTCAAAAATGGTTCACCCTTATAACATTTTTATTTTTTCAGATAAAAAACGAGATTTTATATGTTAGTACATGACATAAATTAGGATGATTGACGTATTAATTGTTTTTGGTCACTTCCTGTTTCACCGGAAATGACTACAACTTATTATACGGCGCGTCCAGTGTAAAAGTAAAAGTGTTTTGGTGTATTGTGGTGATTTAGTGTAATTTTATTTTACTGTGTAACACGAAAGGTTCCAACCCTCAACTGTAATAATTATATTACTCTATTTTTATATGACATATCATAAAATATGTCCCACATATATTCTTCATAGCCCCTCTTAATTATTTGTCCTAATTTGAACAGCAAAAATACACCCCTTCAATTCTCCCAAAAGCTCCGAAATTTTCCGCCTCCCCTAAATTACAGCTCCAAAATAAATGGAATCCCATACCCAGAATTGGAATAAAATAAAAAAAAATATATTTTTTCCTTAAATTTTCAAAACCACCAGATTTTTTCTAGGCTCTTGTTGCTCAAAATTTAATCTATTACCTGTGTTACCGAAAATAAAAAAAAATACAAAAATACAAAATTTTCAACATTATTTTGCAAAACACTTTAAAATAACACCTATTTAAGAATCGCTCTGTATAAAAATATTAGTTTAAGTTATATTTTATCACATTGAACTAACAATCAGTGTATTTTTATTAAATGTAATCAAATTTTATATAAAATTTTTATATAAATTTATAAAAATTCAAAATATCCAAAAATTAAACATAATATTCTATTATATTTTTATGACATACCATAAAATATTTCCCACATATATTCTTCATAGTTCTTCCTAATTATTAGTCCTATCCTTATCAACGAAAGTACACCCCTTCTATTCTTCCAAAAGCTCCAAAATTTTGTCAATCCGCTGAAATTGTATCAAACGCGTATCTATGCCCCGTCAAACGATCTCACTGAAGCGCGTTGTGCCGATCCACGTGCGCATCGCATCGAACATCAAAAACGACTAAAGGCGATCCCAGGCGGTACTGTTTGTGTGTATGTGTGTGAGTACCAGGGTGTTTTGTACAGAGCGTTGTTCGATTCGCGGCCGACCACATACATGAACGAATAGGAACCGATAAGAATAACCGCTCTCTGTGAGGAAAAGACCTTTGAATGAAAATGATTGATTTTGACGGTGGATGAAAGAAGAGAAATCCTCAGCAAATGTAATATTCTGTGTTGTTTAGTTATGATGAGACTATGACTTTTTTTCTACGTAAGTACTCACGTGAGGTATTTTAATACTCCAATTAATTTTTGAAGAGAAACATAAAAAAATAATAATTGGGATGTAATATGAGTAATTATGTAAAGCATACGTACTTCCTTATTTACATTTTAATAATTATAGCCATTGAAAAACTTTTTAACTAAATATTAATTGCCTCAATTTGCGGATTCATAAACTGCTTTGGTCTTATTTGCTAAGCATTGATGATCGATTTTACATATCCATTCAGAACACTTGGAGCATTCCATGATTTCATGATTTCTGGTATAAAAATAACACCTGTCGTTGCCAGTTTTGAACCTTTTTTGCACATGTAATGTTTCCAGATAATGGACTTTGTTGAAGTAGTAATTTAATATACAGTATGTCCCCGGATTGTCTTTACAAGAGGTAAAACTTTTTTATTATTGGCATTTTGAGAAAAATGCATTCCAGATAGGGAGCAATGACGACCGGGTATCGGAAGACGTTGAAGAATGTTTTAAAGCCCATTGATATTTATAAAAAATAGTATATTCTTAATTGCTTAAATAGCATTTTGTAAAAATTCTAAAATCATGACCGAAGAGGAAAAAGGAGATTAGTTGGCGTGCTGAACTTATTGTTAGTACAATTATCTATTGCGAAACGATGACAAGATGATATTTTCAAGGAGTGTAGTAAACTGTAGGAAATATTCTTCTCATAATCATCGAACGGTAAATACGTACGGGGTTCTGATAGAGACGCACAAAATGAAAAATGTACACATCGATATTTTTTTCTGGGTTATAATCAGGGGTAATGGGTGTTTCTCAAAGTTGTAAATTCTTGGTATGTCATCCACTGGGAGTTGGAGAAGTGGAATTTTCTTTTTGAGGGTGTTGCAAGCCCCTGTCCTTCTCTCTATCTATTTAGCTTCCTTCGGTCCATCGTTGGATATAGACAGTACAATATATTCTACTCTTCTCTGTCTGTCTCCATGCAATTGCCAGGCCACAGTAATGTGGCGGACAACTCGCCAAAAAGGAGAGGCCGTGGCAGATGACTCACTACTTGTGACGATCAATACACTGAAAAACTTGAGGACAAGGTTTTTTGAGAGAAGAAAGAAGAGCTGGAAGTGCTTTAACGCAAAGAAAGCATGAGAGGAAAGTTTGGTACAATAATACAGAGGTATCGCAATGGGCCCAAAGCCTCCGAGTGAGGGATCAAACAGAATTCCAAACACCAGCAACCTAAACTCACCTTAATAGCACTGCAACGCTTACAAAAATATCGATATTTATTTATCGGACATCCCTACGTTCTAGCGAGCCGTTTAAAGCAATTACCATCAAAATGCAGCGACGAGTCTGACGGATCGGTACGTAATTGGCACCGAATTTGGATTGGTACTTCAAGGGTACGACGAAAAACAAAAGAAAAACGTATCGACGGAGAAAGGAATCGTAATTACGATGATTTGTGTTAATTAACTTAAGTTTTTTATTATTATGATTTTATTGACACTTGCGGTCATTTGTGATGGTTAATGAAATGTTTGGAATTGATGCAATGACCTTCGAGTAGTTCTCCATCATTATATTTCGTCATAATTAAATGTATCTATATCTATACAGGGTGTCCCAGAAATAAGTGCAAGTATTTCAAGGGGTGGTAGATCTCGATAAAAGAAACATATTTTCTCTATATCGTTTTTCAAATAAGTCCAAAATAACGGAGTTATTTTACTTTGAAAATTTCCAAAAAAAAGATTATTTGCTAAAATTTTGAGAACGACTGGATCTTTTCTGGATTTTATTTCTTGTAAATTTAATCTAATACCTATGTTTTTAACTAAAAACTAAAAAAATTCCAAAAATTTTTTCCAAAAATTTTGAATTTTCAAAAAAAAATTTTTCGCGAAAAAAACCTCATAGGCGTGTTTCTGTGGTTGAACTATACTACCCGTTAAAATACTTACACTTATTTCTGGGACAGCCTGTATATACCTATTTTCCTACTATCGCTTCTTTGATTTTAATAAACGTTAAATAAATGAAGATAACAAAAGTTAAAAAATGAATCACATTTGTACACAAAGTTTGGGTCTTTTTGGTTTTACCTCATTTAGTACATAATTGTTATCAGGTAGTAATAATTGTTAGTTTGAAGCTTGACTTTAATAGACGTTTCTGTTTGAAAAAAAAAACTAAAGTGTTCTTCAATATTTATATCTAACTATTTTATTTTTTTTTAATAGTTTGTTTATTTTTTGTTCTTTGTGCTTTTCTTTGGCTTCTGATGACGGGAGGAGATATATTAATATATATTATTATTATATATACTTCCTGAAACGTTAAGCATTAGGCAAATATGTTTTACTAGCGTGTACCCGCGACTTCGTTCGCGTCGAATTAATCATTTGTAATGGTGATGATAAAGCAAAGCAAGAATTTCCATTAACATACAAACTGGATAAAATTTTCTCACATTTATGTTGCAGTTACCCAACTTTTTGGAACACCCTGTATGATTTTTTTAAAAAATTCAAAATATGTAAAGAAACAAAATAAATTATGCGTGTCCAAGCGTTTTCCCGAAAGACTAACCGTTTTTTAAATAACAAATATTGTATTATTTGAGGGGCGTTTTCACCCTCTTGGAATTTGAGATTCGAGAAATGTTGACAAATTGTTATCCTTTGGACCAACGCCAGCAGTGTTTACAAAAAATAACTTTTTTATTTTGTAGGTTTTCTAGTGACGAAAAACCCAGAGGTCTTTTCAAGATACTTCCTCAAATTAATGCAAGAATTCATGTACTAAATTAGTTATTGAAATTAGTAGGTAGTCGTTATAATATGCAATATTTCCATAAAGTTACAACACGCTAATTTGCAAGCTATAATTTATCACTGTCAAGCCAGAAATCATCTTGTCAAATAATCGTTTAATGTCGACTATAGGTACGTGAACAAACAATAACTTCCTATAAATAATGCAAAAATCTCAGTGGCGAACAACTTTTTTAAAAAACACGTTTGCTATGACATTTAAATTTATCTTGAATCTAGTTCTAAAGGAGTAACAACAAAAATTTTATCATATAAACAAGTATTGGTTGCAGCACAAAAAAAACGTCTTTGCAGAAGGAAACACTTATTTATTGTTAGCTTTTTGAGAAAAATGCAGATAACATACATGGTGTTCCATTTAAAAAAAATCATCCCGATCCATTCACACTTTTTTGAGCCACCCTATAGCGGTTAAAATATTTTCCTGAAATACATCCTCATACATACTTTAGGTTTGCACTTAAGCAAAATTAAAAGTTGTTTATTCTAGGAGCTACAGATGCCCGGCGCACTTTTGCTGGACCCTGTATAATAATGTCTACATTTTATTCTTTAACTAGGCAACGGCCCAGCTTCACATTAGAACACCGAAGTTAAGCGACGTAAGGCGATACTAGTGGATGGACGGGTGACCGGTTCGAAACTCTGTATCGTGCTGTTGTCCAAAAAAAGGCAAAAGTGTAAAATTTATTGACACACACTGCTCATTCATGCCGGTTCGAGGCCGGATGAGATCGGATATCTCGTAAGAGTTGATTTAGACACTTGCCAAGTCCTTGTAGGCCATTGACCATGATATAGCCGAGGACCGCGGTTCGGATTCCGCGTAAACAAAGTAGGCCCCGTCCAGATTAGACCTGGCAGCAAAAAGAAGACGTTAACTGAAATCTTTACTTTACTTTACTTTACTTTATTCTTTAACTAAATATAAACAAATTAAAACGAACTAAAATACGGAAATATTTATTATATTAGAATTATTCAGAATGCAAACTATAAATGTTGCTTCATATCAAATGGAAATCTCTTCTCGTTCACACACACTTCACATTTCTTAAATATGTTGTTGCATTTCACACTTCTATTAATCAAAGCTTTATCTAATCATATGTGCGTGTGTTCGGAACCGAAATGAAAAATGCACCCAACGTAAATTAATTATCTTAGAGAGTTTTAAGGATCTGAGGCAATCGCTGTAAATAATGTTCAGCAGATTATATCAGATAATATTAGCGTTAAAAATGTGCCATAACATGATTTGTTGTATGTGAGAAATTTGATTGTAGCAAGAAATCTGTTAGCAAATATTGAAGGTACTTGCATTATATAATCCTTACTTTTAGTTTGAATAAAAATCTCAGTTATCTATATACTAATATACAAGGTGTCCCAGAAATAAGTGCAAGTATTTTAACTGGTATAGTTCAACCCCAGAAACATGCCTATGAGGTTTTTAAGGAAAAAAAAATTTAAAAATTTTTTGGAATTTTTTTTTAGTGTTTAGTTAAAAAACATAATTTCTTGATAATATGGCAACATAGGTAGTAAATTAAATTTACAAGAATGAAAATCCAGAAAAGACCCAGTGGTTCTCAAAATTTGAGCAAAACAATATATTTTTTTAAATTTTCAAAGTAAAATAACTCCGTTATTTTGGACTTATTTGAAAAACGATAAAGAGAAAATATGTTTCTTTTATCGAGATCTACCACCCCTTATAATACTTGCACTTATTTCTGGGACACCCTGTATAAAATCCTTAAGTGACTGATTCACTGATTAATCACGATCCTGCTCAAACCACTCAACGTAAGAAGCTCAATTTTGGCATAGAGGTTGATTCTAGGGTGTAGAGGTTCGATAAGAAGGGATTTTTCGAAAAATCTGATGATTGAAAAAATTAATCGCGATCCTGCTTAAAGCGCTTGACGTAAAAAGCTGATTTTTGTAAAACGGATTGACTTTA